GTCAATGTTAAATGTACGGGGTTTTATTACAGTGAAAGTTAATTATCATAACATAGATTACTTCATTAATTTATATGTAGTTAACGGTGATCGAAATGCATTACTAGGGCGAGAGTGGATAAGACTTTTAAAAATAAATTTACAAAACATTGATAAGGTTGATATAATCAATGACAATCTTGTTTCATTAAATCAAATTAAAATTTCTGATTTAATTTCAAAGTATAATAGTTATTTATGTATCAAGGGAATTATGCAGGTGTTAATACCCCAGGGCAACGTTTGTGTCCCGAGGGCCTCCGGCCCGAGGGACACCAATTGCCCGTGGGTATTAACTCCGGATAATTCCCGTGGTACATAGATAATTTTATATCCTACTGAATTTACTGTATTCTGTCTATTTTTATAAAGGAATAAGCCATAAATCAAAATTTCTATTTTTTGTCAAAGTGTTACCTATTCAAGGTAAAAGCGGGAGTTATGGAAATCCTTAACTCCCTTGGGAGTTATGATATCCTTAACTCCCTTCCTTAACTCCCTTGGGAGTTATGAAAATCCTTAACTCCCTTGGGAGTTAAGACCCTGTTTATGATTATCGTAACCAAGGTATTATATGGTTTTAATAGTTCAGTAGGATATAAAAATATTTTTCAACCTGGTATAGGTGTTATAAAGGACATTCGAGCATCAATTTTTTTGAAGGAAAATGCTAGACCGGTTTTCATAAAAGCTAGAAACGTACCTTTTGCATTACAAACAGATATCGAAAAAGAATTAAATTCGTTAGTTCAACAGGGAATTTTGGAAATAGTGAATTATTCAGATTGGGCCACACCAATTGTACCTGTGGTTAAATCGAATGGTCAAATACGTATATGTGGGGATTACAAAACAACCCTTAATCCTAATATTTTGGTAGATGATCATCCATTACCTACAATCGATGAACTGTTTGCTAAAATGGCTGGGGGGAAAATTTTTACAAAAATAGATTTGAGCAAAGCTTACTTACATTTGGAAGTTAAATCAGAAATGCGTCATTTACTGACACTAAATACACACAAAGGTTTATTCCGTCCAACTCGATTAATGTTTGGTATAGCCAGTGCTCCGGCAATTTGGCAACACTAAATGGAGCAAATTTTGCAAGATATTCCTGGTTGTACAGTGTTTTTAGACGACATTAAAATATCGGGGCCAGATGAAAAAACGCATTTAGATAGGTTAGAGATGGTATTAAACCGACTAAATGAATATAATTTGAAGGTGAACTTAGAAAAAAGTGTATTTTTTGCGGATGAAATCAAATATTGCCGATATAGAATAAATAAAAATGGAATACAAAAAGTTGAAAAAAAAATTGAAGCTATTCAACAAGTTCAGAAACCAGAAAATAAAACTCAAGTACGGGCATTTATCGGATTAATTAATTATTATCGCAGATTTTTTCAAAATGCAAGTACTATTCTATATCCACTTACTAATCTTATGAAAGATGATGTTCAATTCAAATGGACTAGTCAGTGTCTGCATTTGATGCTGCAAAACAAGAAATGCAATCTGAAAGAGTTTTATGTCATTTTAATCCAGGTTTACCACTAATTTTAGCAACTGATGCGTCACCATACGGAGTTGGAGCCGTATTAAGTCATCTGTTCCCAGATGGTTCAGAACGGCCTTTTCAGTTCGCCAGTCAAACGTTAACCAAAACTCAACAACGTTATTCACAAATTGACAAAGAGGCTTATAGTTTGGTATATGGTGTTAAAAAATTCTATCAGTTCCTCTGTGGTAGAAGATTCACTTTATATACGGACCATAAGCCCCTTTTACAAATATTTGCACCACATAAAAGTTTACCTGTACTTAGTGCGACTAGAATGCAACATTATGCTATATTTTTACAATCATTTCACTATGATATAAAGTATAAAAGTACAAATAATCACGGAAATGCGGATGCTTTATCACGATTACCGTTAATTTCAGAAGATTTTACAATATTTGACGAGCCGGATGTATTTGAAATTAGCCAAATTGAAACATTACCGGTTACGGTCGAAATTTTATCAAATGCTACATCTAAAGATACTTCATTATTAAATTTATTAACGGGTAACATTGTCTCTAAAGATGATCGTTTCAATATTGATCAAGAAGAATTTTCATTACAATGGGGTTGTATCATGCGTGGACAGAGGGTAGTAATTCCCGTAGTGCTACGTCAGAGAGTACCTACTCTCTGAACTTCATTCAGCTCATTTTGGAATCGTTAAAATGAAAAGTTTAGCAAGAAGTTATTGCTGGTGGTCCGGAATTGATAACGATATTGAAACTTTAGTTAAAAATTGTTATGAATGTAATAAACAAAAAAATAACGCAGAAAAAGCGGAAACTCATGTGTGGGAAAAATCTAATACACCTTTTGAACGCGTTCATGCAGATTACGCGGGACCTTTTAACGGCGGATATTACTTTATTTTGGTAGATTCATTTACAAAATGGCCTGAAATTCATTTCGTTAAAAACATGTCGACGGAAACAACTATAGAAAAATGTCGTACAATTTTCGCTACATTTGGAATTCCAAAAATTTTTGTTTCGGATAATGGATCAAATTTTACTTCTTATAAATTTAAACAATTTCTTCAGGAAAATGGTATTTTTCAAAAGTTAATGGCTCCGTACCACCCCGCTACTAATGGACAAGCGGAACGTTTTGTACAAATTTTAAAAAATAGTCTTAAAAAAATGTGTTCAAAAGGTCATAGTAACCTTGAATTATCAAGATTTTTGATACAGTATCGTAAAACGCCTCATTCAGTCACAGGGGAAAGCCCATCACAACTGATGTTAGGAAGGCGAATACGTTCTAGATTGGACTGTATGAAACCGGATACATATTTTAAGGACCCAAGCTTAAATGCGAATAAGAAGTACCGATCTTTATGCATAGGAGCTAGGGTATCAGTGAGAGATTATTTTCATGAAAAATGGAGATTCGGAAAGGTCTTAACAAAAATAGGCAAGTTACATTATTCAGTTAAACTTGACGATGGAAGAGTATGGCGTAGACATATTAATCAGATACGTGAAATAGGACAATCAACACCGACTAAGTCACATGACAATTCATTAAATAACGATAATTCAAATATTTCACCAAATGATGCGACATTACCAAATTTTGAAACTTCATGTTCATGTACTAAAACATCATCAAATGAACAATTTTTGTTATCTGCAAATGGCCCTAGACGTTCTACAAGAATTAAACAGCCTCCTTCACGTTTAGTTTTATAGTTAGGGGGAAAGGAGATGTTATGTTCTTATTTAGTTAGTTTTATATATCATACCTTTTTACCTTGTTGAATATTTTTTATAACCAGTAACTGGTACTGATGTCTATCATTATATAAATTGTCATTTTATTTGTACGTATTTTTAGCCCTTAAATAAATTCATTATAAAAGTAATAGTTATTTACCTAACAAATGCGGAAAGTGATACTTTACCGCACGCAACGGCAGTTGACCGAACGACGCGAAGCGGAGTTCGGTCAAGCCGTTAAGGGCGGTAAAGGCACTTTCCGCATGTGTTAGGTACAAAATTTTACCTATGAGCATCTACATCTCCAAAAAAAGCATTGATAAAATTAATTAATGAATCAGATTAATTAATGAAATAAGATTAAATTTAGAAATGACGAAAAGTCCATTTTCTGAAAAAGAGAGGAATTTTGATTATAAATATCAAATTCTACTTTACCGCACACTTTGTAGTCCACTTTACCGCACACTATGCTGTAAAGTTAACTTTACCGCACACTATGCTGTAAAGTTAACTTTACCGCATAGTGTGCGGTAAAGTGATACTTTCCATTTTCAAATACGTGCGGTAAAGTGCACTTTACCGCACGCTCGTAGGTAAAATACATTAACGTACATACACAACAGGCTCTTAACTTCGTTATTCATCCACTTAGGGAATTCTGGTGATTTATAATGAGCTGTAGGCACAAATAAGTCGATTATGTCGAACAATGTTTTATAAAAAATTTCAACAACAATATCCACATCGGTACACTCAGATATAAAACTCCAATCTACATATGACAAGTATAAATTAATTCGACTGCTAAAATATAGCATCATTCTTGACTGGGTAAAAAATCTACATCGCCTAATAGTAGATTTGTTCCTAATACTAATCCTTTAGAAAATATTCTCTCCATGGGGAGAAAGAAAAGAAAAGGGAGAATTCCGCACATCCTGTTAGGTCCCAAAATAAGGCAAACACTGGATTAGGAACAAAGCCAAAAAAAGGAGCACGTTCCAAAACTGTTTTGTTTGATGCCTTGTACACCAGGGCAAGAGTTTTTTTTTTTTTTTTGCAAAGGGGGAAATTGTAGCGCCTCTCCAGTTTAACAATACAAAAAAGTAAATGTTAATCAATAAAATAATTTTTTCTTTTCTTATCTTATAAATCATTCCTATACCAGAGGAAAATCTCCATTATACCCTTCGAACATTTATTGTTTCACAAGCTCTATAATACATTAAAGATGTCACCAAGCGGGTTTCGTTATAGTCTCTTTCGCGTTAGTTTTTTTAGCCCCTGTCGCACTAAAGTTTCTGTTCTCACACTATCTTGGAGAGACGGTTTTGATATCGGTTGGGGCCTAGTTTATTGCCAGAAAAGGGATGAGAAATCAATGTTCCATTTCTATTTTTGAGAAAGAATCTAATAAATGTGGCGTCAAATATTTACGATTACACCGAAATTGATTAGAGAATGAGTCGAATAGTAGGATCATTTTTCTTTTGTCAGAACTACTGAATTGAAGGATTTGACTGCTTAATTCACAAGTACTAGTGAAATAATGAGGTTTTTTCTTTCAAGGGTTTAAACGGTTCAACAAAGCAACAAAACAATATTTCATTTATATAAATTCAAAAACTCTTAGCCTTAATCTGCCTAAGTATATGAAATGTTCTTACCTGAAAGTTAAAACCGTTAAAGGCCTATAGCTTTTATGACTATTTTCATCGGCCATCGGTGTCCCCCAAAAGTCATTCTCGAAGACACTTTTCACAGGGTTTATTGCCAAAACATCCTTGTTCAAAGTCACAGCTGGTATATCGTCATGAACAAAGTCACCGTCAATAATGTTTAAATAACAAGTGACCGCCAAAATACCTACAACACTATATATCGGCCAAGTGGATGGAGATTTCTTTTTGAAGCTCTCGGGTTTATTGTGGTGCTGATGAATATTGTGTCTTCTTTTCATGGCGGTATGGTTGATTTTGTGAGTTATTTGTCACTATTGTCGTTCAGTTTTTAGCCTACAACAAAGCATATTTTACATTAGGAAACGCGATGTCTGATCAATTTCATGTATCATTTAAATTCTGCTCAACATATGTTAATAAAGTTTGACGTCGTGAGACGAGTCGAGACGAGAATACGCTCTCTCTCGTCTCTCGACGGTTCGAGAGAAAATTAGTGTCTCGTCTCGATGAGAGATTCTCGATACGAGACGAGAGAGCTCTTTTCTCGACTCGTCTCGTTTTCTCTCGTAAGAATAGTAAGTTAATTTCATCTTCGAGGTAAAAAACAAACGCAAAAAATGTATTCCCGCTCCTCAACTAAAATGTATAAACATGTACTTTTACCCCTAATACCATTGCCAAGAGATCTTTTCGATTTCTCTCGAGAAAAGTCAACTTTCAATTTTGGGGAATCCCCAGTGAAAAAGGAATGGATTTTCTGGAACTTTTTCTAGCTTCAGGAGGCGTTGGACGTAAAATGTTCAAAAAACCATTTCTGGTTCTTTTCGCCTTCTCTACGACATAAATATAGGCGAAAGAATTAACTGGCATTTTACTCTTTCTATTAGACAATGTGAGATGGTATCCAGGTTTCTAGAAATGCATGGCCAAAATAATATATATCGTAACTAATTTATAAGCCCTTGAATTATTTCATTATTCAACGTAATGGAATATCTAATGCTAGAACAATGGAAATGAATTAATTGGTTAAAGCAGTTTTAGCAATAATCCATACTACAGCCCACATTATGAGCCGCAACATAATGAGAATTATAGAATCATATTATTATCTAACCCCTAATGTTTCCATAATTAATAATTACTAAACCAATTGCATACAGTAATTTAATTTCCAGGAAACAATAAAATTAATCAGCAAAATACAATACGTATATATAGAAACACAATTATTTAGGCAAGGTGTGCTTCGTTATAAATTAATGATTCATTTTGTGGAAATGTATGCCAGCTTACATTCCACGTAAACTGTTTCAGCTGTGATTTTTCCAGATTCGGATTAAAGTTAATTGAATCTAAACAACAATTCAAAGCTGAATACATTTTCGATGAACATCTGTTTTTGAGTTCACCAAAGTGATATCAAACAGAAACGCAAGGTGATGTTGAAGCATGAATAATTATGATACTTTTGCAGTTTATGTGTGTAATTATTTCACATGGCAAATTGAGGGGTATAAGACGATTTGAGTCATGCATACTGCAGTAGAATATAATTTATGATTTTGAAGGAATAACTTCCCAAAATAACCGGAATAAAAAAAAAAAAGAAAAACAGGAATATTCGTAAGTCAGAAACACCAAATAATCTCTTGGGAAACTTTAGGCCAGAGGGTAACTTTTATTTGCGATATGATGAATTTATTATGGAAGAGTCCGCCCCGATGTAATAACAGCTGACCCGTACATGAAACAGCTGTTTGAAAATTGCTTGAGAAGGTGCCCAAATGCTGTTAGGTAAGATCAAAATCTCTGGATCCAGGTAGAGAGTGGTTTTTTAAAAGTAGGGTAAAAAATACCAGATAGATATACATTTTTTAGAAGATGGAATAAGCCTCTAACAATATTATAGCATTCTAAAAGAAACCTACATCAAACAATTGCTTGATAAAATATTTAATAAATCAAGTTGCAAACAATTTGGGGACGTCATTTTCACTTGGGTCCGCTAGTGGTTTGTTAGTGAGTAACTTTTTAAAAACCATTAATTCCAGAAAAAAAAAATATTGAATCTTATACTGACCTCTGAAAATATGTTACTTGTTAACACAATCGGCAAAGTTTCAACTGTCACAATACCTAGTGCAACCCAGTTTTGGAAAAAAGACACGCAAATTTTACCGAAAACATGAAATTATGCCAGATTGCATAAAATGTCACGTTCCTGACGATAAGTATCATGTAAAATTAAAATAAATTATTTACGCACGCACGTAAAAAAAAAAAACAGGGCGGAATACCCGACGACGGACCCGGTGCTGGAAACTCCTGGAAGCGCTCGGTGGAAAAGCCCGCAGCGCACTGACTGCTGTGAATCCCGTTTCATAACTCTGGATCTATCCCGAATGCTGTCAGTGGAAAAGAGAGAGAGGGGGAGAAAATTGGCCTAGTACAAATGTTTGGAGAAGGCGAAGTTGTAATGTAATATATTTTTTTAATAGCCTAATAATAATAATTCTAATTTGTAATTCGCACTCTTATTATATGTCCCTAACTATATTGGTGCCCAATATTCTGAATTTTCGAGGTGATGATATTCACCATTATGTTTTGAAAATACACAATATAATTATTTATCACATAAATTACAATGATTATAATATGGCAATCTTAACCGTGTCAGCTGTGAACAAGAAGGTGCAATTTCTAGAGTTCTCACTAAACATAAATTGGCTGAAATGTGAAAAAAGTCACGAAAGCTTCAAATCGTCGAGTCGAGAGAATCTTTATTGCCAAAAAATCGAATTATTTTTAACTTGGACATTAAAGAAAGCTGTGAAAATATCCAGGGAAAGGACGATTCTAAAATTATTTTTCATTTATGTGATTAGAAGTTTGATATCACTGAATGAGATTTAGAGATGGCATAAAATAGTATGCAATACCAGAGAATTTTGTATCTGTTACTGAAGCATAATCATTTTTCAGGGCAGCTTGCATTTATAATTAACTACCCCAAGACTTGAAATAAAATAAAATATCCTAATCATCCACATTTTGTGTAAAGTTCATTAGCCTCTAACAAGATTTTCACTGACTAGAAACCTACTAAATACGGTTATAGCCTGCTATAAATCACAGAACAATACAGCGCAGATACGCAATAAAAACTAGAAACGGTCGCCTTATTAGATTTCTGTTCCAGCAGTCGCTACTACAATCAATCGATTAGAGGCCAAACAAGAAGATATATAGCAGTTTGATTTATGAAGGAAAAGAGATATATGGAACTCGTTATTTTAAAAAATGACGAAACTGAGCAGCTGTTCTAAGCTGTGTTGGAACTTTATAAGCTTGATAAAAGGCCTCATTCTGAATTTGTCGAGAAAGCTTGTTTTGATGAAATCTTTAATATACTCATATGCGCTTGTGAATGATCGTGTATTTGTTTTCTTGAAATCAATCGAATTATTCAAATTGTTTCTTTGATTCACTTAGAAAGTCCTTGTCGATGTTTTGTGACGCAGGGCACTCGAAAACTATCCGAGAAAAACCAAAAATAATGCTTTGATTTATTTCACTCAGTTGCTCGAAATCTTGCCTTTTTCTATATCGTATTTCCCTTGAAGAAAGATAAGCGTAACACAAAAGCCATGCAAATTAAAAAAGCTCCTCTGGTAAATTTTCTTCAACCGTTTGGTTTTCTGGCAGTCAAAAATATATATTATATACTATAAATTTTGTTTAAAAAAAAAAATGTAAAAATAGTTTTTTTGTTTTTCTGGGACGATAAAAGCACTTTTCAATTCATTCATTAATCGAGTATTCACACAAAAGACCCGAACATACATTGGTGCAAGAGTCGGGCGCTTAATTAAATGGCACAATTAATTTGAAATGACAGCTATGTAGTTGCTATCCCTTGGGGTTCAGAACACAAAAGGACCAGTGAGAAGTTTAAAATTTACTCTTTCCATGATTGGAAAACTTTGTTGGAGCCGATTACAATGTTGAAGGTTCGCCCAATTTTGTTCCCATTGATAGTATTACTACGAATACATTTGTTTCAAGTTAGTCTGTGGAAATAATGTAATACATGTTTACCCTCACAAATTATGATCAATAATTCAGTTACCTTCAAAGCATTATCATTTTCTGCGAAAATGATCCCGGATTTCAGCTATAATTCAAAATTAAATTATTGGGTCGATTTCCGCGGTGCAGGAACCTAAGCATAAACCGACAAAAGGAAGTCGACACAGATCATCACGATAAACTGTGCAATGTTATCGGTTGGTGATTTATGGATTTTGAATTTTTTTGTCAAGAAATCTGCTATGCGCTTTGTATAATTGAATTAACTTAATGCCCAAAGAATATTAAAGTTCAAATTTAGACAGGCAACATGTATATTTTAAATTTTAACAGAAATCTGGTTTTCATGATTTCAAAAAAGAAGTGGAAAGAAGGCTTCAAGCGCTAACGAAAAAAGCACCACAAACTAAAAAAGAGACATAAACATGCTATAAAATATAACAATAACACCAACAAACATAGAAAAAAATATCCCTCAAAACAAAACACAAAAAATGGGTACAACAATGAAACAAATAATAATAACATCGACTCCAGATAAAAAAATTTTGAAAGGCAAAGCAGATAAGGCACTGGAGATAACAAATAAAATAGCTACAAAACAACCACAGAAACCTCGACAAAAACATCGAAATGAAAGTGGGATTAACATATTTCACCAAAATATACAAGGCGTAACAACATCATTGCAGAATCTTGACATTCTATTGGAGACATCAGACACTGACACTAACTACCCACTGAGCAAGAAACATACTTGGGATGTTTTGTAACGTTTTTGAAATGAAACTCAATGAAGGTTTTTTATGTAACGTAGTAAAGTCATATTTGTTACTACTTTTCAAAACGTTTTGCATATTCCTGTTTTCAGAATTATTTTGCAATTGTATTGGTTCTGTTGTAAAACCAACGTTCCAATAACGTGAAATAGATGTTCACCCTAGCAACGTTGAGTATTTGACGTTATATGGACAGTATATTATTTACATTCTTGCTACGTTTCACGTGATGACACGTTTGTGACGTTTTCCGTATTTATTTTCGTTTCGTTTCGAAATAAACGTTGCAAATTTGAAACTAACTTGTTTGGTAATATAACGTTTTTAATGTTGTTAGGTACAACATGCTTGAAACGTTCCAAAGGACGTATCACTTCCATTATTTTCGAACAACGCCACAGTTTTGTTTTTAATCAGGTTAGAGGTTAGATTAGGTCAGACCTGCTGTGTAAAAATCGGTGTTTCTGGATTTTTATTAGGTAAAATTGGGTAAAATATACCTACGTTATTTTATGCTATAAAAATAATTTTAATTATAGATATATCATCCTATGTGTTTCTTGGAGTGTTTTTTTTTTGTGTATGGTACTTGGTAGGTAGGTAGAAACTGTGTAGGTATAGGTACCTATGCCTACCTATTGTTAGGGATGGCAATTTTTGGAAAAACATCGATGTATCGGCATCGATAGACATCGGAAACCAATGCATCGATTTATAAGATACATAGAGTTAAAAACATCGATGTGTTCGATGTTTTTAAGAATGCGATATTTTATTTATTATTTCTTCTTAGGTATTGAAAATAAAATTATAATTGAGTCAATTAGATAAGTAAGTTGAATTAAAAAATAAGACAGGCATATCCACATAATATAAGCAAAAGCACGTGGAGTCATAACCTGTGGTGGTGCAAACAGCATACGTCAAGGCGACACACGACATGCTGCCTACGTCACAACTAGTGATTTGGCGTGGTGAGGTGGGGGCTTCAGATTTGTTCCACACAGGCCTTATGAGGATAGGTTATCCTGTAGTAGTAGTGTGTGTTATCCTTGGATCGGATCAGCGTTTCCGTTAAGGGCAAGTTCTCATGAGCGTAAGTTGACATTTCTGGCGTAATCACGTGATAAAATGGTTGGATTGTATTGGTAGAATATTCGCCATGCTGGAGATTTTACCAATCAGATTACATCATATTATCACGTGATTACGCCAGAAATGTCAACTTACGCTCATGAGAACTCGCCCTAAGGCATTCTGTCAACAGCGTTAAGTCAACTGTCAATTTTTCACCAAAACTGTCAAGAATAGCGATTTTTATTTGGTAGAAACTAGTGCCGACTACCGAGTAACAAAAAATGTATTAAAAAAAAGCATACATTTTAAAGGTTAAACATCGATAGTATCGATGTCGATGTATCGATATATCGACTTGTGTTGTATCGATGTAAAAGTATCGATGTTTATTGTTCGATATATCGATGTTTTGAAAAAATCGATGTATCGTTGCCATCCCTACCTATTGTATTGTGCTCCTCTGAAACTGATGTGCTGAACAAAACAGGGCGAGTCTCTGAAGATGGATCTCAAAGTAAGTTTATTTTTTACCAAAAGTATATGTATGATGTATTTATTATTATTTTAGGTATTGTGGTTGTGCTGGTATAATTCCTACTTTATAATATAAATACCTATAAGTAGCAGGCAGAATAGGGCCGAATTCTTGAGAAGGGGATTGGTCAATCTTTTCGCCAGTAAATTGTCTATACCTACGTTCTTCGTGGACTGGCCAAAAAAATTATTTCAAAATAAGGGATTTACAAAATCGATTATATTCTAAAAGGTTTGATTTTGACCTAAAATATTTTTTGATTGAATAATTAGTTTGTTTTTTCTAAGTCCTGACTGGTGAAAAGGTGATGGAGAAAAATGGTGATGAGATGGTTTATTCATTCGAATCAGCGCCTCAAGCCGAAATTCCAAAAAAATTGGCAAGTTTTATCCTTTTAAAAGTTAATTAAAAAAATAATGATACTGTATTATTTGTTTTAGCATCACCAGAGGTCAGCCAGAAATCATATAATTTTTCAATTTGATAAATAAATTAAATAACTATCAATTCTTCGTTTTATTGTATTTAGGTAGGTAACTAACATTTTCAACGGTATAGTTTCGAAACAAAAACGTAATCTATTGATATAATAGAACATCATGGGTTTGTTATAAAAACATCGCAAAAACGAAACTACTATAACATAGTTTCGAAACAAAAACGAAACCTAATAACATAAATATAACATTGTCATGAGTTTGTTATAAGAACATCCCAAAAACGAAACTGTTATGGTATAGTTACGAAAAAAAAAACGTTAATTTACAAACGTAACTGCGATTTTGTTATGTTTGAGGACTTATAACGACACTATTTCATTAAGGCGGCGTAACAGATCCTTTTTGAATAACGTAACATGTAACCTTGAAAACAAAGATGTGACGAAATTACGATGTTTTTTTGCTTAGTGGGTACCAAATACTATGTTTATCAGAACACTGGATGAAGCCAGGGGAAGAACAACTTGTAAAATTAATCAGATACAACCTGAAAACTTGTTATTCTCGTGAACATATGAACAGAGGAGGGGTATGTATCTTT